ATATATATATTTGACATTTTCACTTCTATCAGTTCTATTTAAATTAGTCATTATTGATCACAGAACTTTTATTAAGCACACGCTTGTGAGATTTATAGCATCCAAATGCAACCAACTGTGACATTCCAGGCAAGGTGTTTAATTATAAGAACCCTCAGTATGCAGTACTCTACTCAGCAAAATGGTAATCCTTCCAACAGACAAGGAAGGGTCTGATTCACAGAATTGCTGCGATAGTTAAGCAAGATATTTATGACAGATCTTAGGGAGGAGCTTGGCAGCTGATAGGAGGTGGAAAATATGTTATTCAACTTTATTATCTCTAAGCCAAGGGACAAGAAAACGAGTCCAACCTCCATTCAAGGACAACTGTTTTCTCGATGAGAAGATACAAAAGTGTAGATATGACAGAATGCAGGATCTCCAGTCTCTGTAGCAGGGACCACACTAATGGGCACAGAAAAGAGTAATGAATAGCATAAAAGGACCTCTTTAATGTTCACGGATGTCAGAAAAGCCTTCATGCAGAGACAACACTGCTCAGACTTTGATAAGGTGTGCAGTGTTTTACGAAGGAAAGTGGGCCAGGTAGTCCAAGAGGGGGAAAGAGTCAACCCCCAAAAAACACCTAGTTGTCAAAATAGTGTGCCTGGATCACAGTAGAACCCTGCTTTAGTAATGTGCAGGGAGTAAACAATGGCATGCTGCAAGTCCCATCCTGGCCTCAACACAGTGGGTTGGCATGTCTTGTTTTAAGTGATAAATCATTTGGAGGTTGGCAGACTCCAAAAAGTATAATGTTTATGTGGAGTCAAAGTTGTCATTCAAGAACAGAATGCTTTGGGGGCTGAATGGCACCATGTTGCCCCAACAAGAACACTTGAATCTCCTTGAGTCATCCGGGTCTTTCTTTATGACAGTCTATAATATTCCTTTAGGAAAGAAAAGGTCAATGGGGCAGATGTGAGGTTTTCTACCCCTTGTATTTGATCTATCTTCTGACTTCATGAAATTCTTGGAGCATTTCCCTGTAACAAGCTGTGCTCATTCATTGGCCTGAGCCACTTTATCTGATAGGGCCTAGGCTCCCCCTCCTTGTCCTGCCTCCTTTTGCTGCTGAATAAATCAACCTGGGACAAGTCCAGGTGGGAGAAAGATTTTTATAGGAAAGTTCCACATACCTCAAGCCGCCATGATCCCTGCTGAATCCTTGGGCCCCAAGGAGAAAGAAGTGAGAAACGAGAGACAGTGTCTCACATCCAGATTTTGCCTCAGGTCACTGGTGCTGGCGACCTGAGGTCCTGCTCGCTGGCAGAGCAAAGACACAATTCCCCTGTACATCAGAGCTAGGAGGCTGCAGGAGCCAGCTCTTCACTCTCTACCCTCTCAGCTTCAAAACAATGGACCCATTAGCCACTTCAGAGTTTCAGGAGGTCTGGAGAGGCCAGAGTCCAAGAATCAGAAAAGGAGACACAAACAGCTGTACCTGGGCTGGTTTTATTAAGGCCTGGATAACAAAACGCCACTTTTTGAGGTGCTTTGACCTTAACTTCTAGCCCACTGGGGTCGACCAGCCACCCTGGGAAGTCCTTAAAGTTAACAAATTAATACAGAGTTTTAAAATAGAATCCACCTCCTTTCTTTTTAAAATCCAACGCTTAAGTCCTGTATCTCAATCTTTAGATAGATGACAGATTAGATATAGATAGAGAGAGAGAGAGATGATAGATGATAGACAGACAGATAGATAGATAGATAGATAGATAGATAGATAGATAGATAGATAGATAGATAGATAGATAGATAGATAGATAGATAGATAGATAGATAGATAGATAGATAGATAGATAGATAGATAGATAGATAGATAGATAGATAGATAGATAGATAGATAGATAGATAGATAGATAGATAGATAGATAGATAGATAGATAGATAGATAGATAGATAGATAGATAGATAGATAGATAGATAGATAGATAGATAGATAGATAGATAGATAGATAGATAGATAGATAGATAGATAGATAGATAGATAGATAGATAGATAGATAGATGATAGATGGATGGATATCCATCCACTGTGGAATGTAAGCATAGAAGGCCAGAATTAAAAGAATCTCTTATAGACTGCCAGAACTCCAGAAAATCTGTTGATTAGGAATGGGGGAAGGTTCTTGCACATTTTTCCTCTTCCTTCTGGGATGCTCTGTGCAACGCAAGTGACCTGTAAAGCTAGGAAAAGAGTGTCAAAACGTGTTTCTGGGACACAGCTGCTACAAATAATCCTGAGGATGGTTTCGGTGGAGAGGGGGAGGGGCATGGGCACCCGCAGCGAAAGCTCAGAATAGAAAGGAGTTTCTCCCAGCTTGAGGAAGCGAAAACGCCTTCTCAAGTGGGGGACAGAGGGGGCGCTCGGCGAGGCGTTTATTTGGGTTTTCTTGGGACGCAATGGGAGTCGCAAAAGCGCCCAGAGCCTGACGTCATTGGCCATCAGCTGACTGTTCTGGGCCCCGGCTTCACTGGCAGCAGCCGCAATCGCGGTGGCGGAGGTGATGGCCACCTGCAGCCGCGTTCTGGACTGTGCCCCGCAGACTCAGCATCCAAGGACCCAGCTCCGCGCGACGTTGGCGCATGGACCACTGCGTGGCAACTTAGTCTACCGCGAGCGCCACTGGGGTTTTGTGCGGCGGTGTCTGGGTAGGCGGGAAACCCGCGGTCCAGGTGGTCCCTGGCAGTGCTTTTCCCGGAGCCTTTCTGTGCAACCCTACTGTAAGCCGAGATACACCTAGTGTCCAAAACCAGCAGAGGACGCCCCCATTTTCATGCCCTGCGCCCTCCACCCCGGGACCTGTGGAGTAAAGAGACTCCAGCAGAAGCTGTCCACCTCTATGATTGCGGTTTCTTGGGGGGCATTTTGGTTTTAGCCTGAAAGTTAGAGTTGAAAAACAAATCACGACCGGCTGGGGAAAACAGAAAGGAGCCCCTCTACTGTGTGGCTCTGGGCTCCAGGAGTCAGTGGGCAAAGCGGCCTACGAGTCCTGGCTCTGCACCTGCCAAGGACCAGAGCCAGGGCCGAGAAAAGCACAGAGGAGGAACGGCGGGAGCGGCCAGGTGGAGCGCTCCACCACAGCGCACAGCCGGGACCGGCCGGACTTGCGTGAGGCCGCCTTCAGGACCTGCGCATCCCCGCCAGATCTGGGTGTCGGGTCCCAGCCGCCACCCCCACCGCACTCTTCTTCGCGGGTTCCGGGGGCGTGGCTTGGCGCGGGGGCGGGTTTAAGTCGCCGCGGGTGTCTGACTGCTCTGACAGGTCTCCAAATTCCTCCCCGGGTCTGGGTCCTGCGGCGCCTTTGCGAGCGCGGAGGTGGCACGCCGCGCCTCCCGAGACCCGGAGGCATCTCTTCGGATTCCTAGCGGCCTGGGGCCCTCTCCTCCTTCCAACCTGTCTGGGGCCGCAGCACCCGCCAAGTCTCCATTCTCAGGCTCTGGAATCCGCGCCAGGGGCTTCTGTCCTTACTCAGAGCTGTGGGCTTCACTATTCTTTACCGGCTTCTTCTAGGTACAGGCAGGCCCAATGGACTCCAAAGAGCGAAGTGAAGGGCATGGGAACTGGGTGCTGCAACCCCTCAGAATCACTGCTGGCAGCGGTGACCTCGTCCTTTAGCCGAGGCTGGGACCCTGGGGCTAGTGCCCCAGCGCCATCCTCCCTAAGGAATGCTCCTGTCCAGAATCCGTGCGGCGCTGTCAGTATTCGCTCTGGAAGTGGCGACAGCCAGGAAGAAACCGAGGAGAGAGCTTAAACACACCTCCAAATTAACTGTTTGGTGACTTGTTAGCGCGGAGGCTACCACCTCTCCAGTCCTCCCGCGGGGCGCCCTGCCACCTCACCGTCACCCACTCGTCCTGTCTCATCGCTCCCGCCTCCAGCTCCGCCCCGGCTCCCCATCCCGGCGCAATGGAGTTATCCGAAGGGCGATGATTCCAGCCACAGCTGGTAACTTAGCACCCATCGTGGCCACCGGTCACCCCTGGCCAGCCCTTCTGCAGCCACCTAGCCGTGGGCGTCCGGAGCCCAGTGCCGCAGTCAGGACCCGCCCGACGCGCAGCGGAAGATCGGCGCCTGGGCGCCTCTTGGAGAGCAAAGGCTGCGCCAAGACGCTGAGCCCAGAGCCAGCCGCTGAGCCTGAGCCTGGGAAGCCAGGGCACCTCGGCTTTTGCGGACAAATAGCCACCACCACGCCACTGCGTACCCAAGCTGCGCTGATTGGCGGGAGGGTGACTTGTGTGGACGCTGGAGTCCGCTGCGATCCACCAGGAGTCCTTTGCTCCCTGGCGCACTATGACCTGACCTGTGGGGGTCCCTGCCCAGGGTTTCTGCTATCTAGCAGCCTAGCAAAGAAGAGAGTGCCGCCAGGCTCCTAGCAGGCCGCCTTCGGGTCTTTAGGAAGCCCCCACCCCCAACTGCCTCCACCAGTTTCTGCGCCTCCCTCGCTGCGGACCCTGCCATGGAGCTCTCGGATGTGCGCTGCCTTAGCGGCAGCGAGGAACTCTACACCATTCACCCGACGCCCCCGGCCGGCGACGGCGGGAGCGGTTCTCGGCCGCAAAGGTTGCTGTGGCAGACGGCGGTGCGGCACATCACCGAGCAGCGCTTCATCCTTGGGCACCGGGGCGGCGGCGGCGGGAGCGGGGGCTCACGCAAAACCTCTAACCCTGCCGGCAGCGGGCCCAACCACCACGCGCCGCAGCTGTCTGGCGACTCGGCGCTGCCCCTCTATTCTCTGGGCCCGGGGGAGAGAGCGCACAACACCGGCAGCACGAAAGTCTTCCCGGAACGCAGCGGGAGCGGCAGTGGCAGTGGCAGCGGAGGCGGGGGCGATCTGGGCTTCCTGCACCTTGACTGTGCCCCGAGCAACTCAGATTTCTTCCTTAATGGGGGCTACAGCTACCGAGGGGTTATTTTCCCCACCCTGCGCAACTCGTTCAAGTCTCGGGATCTGGAGCGTCTCTACCAGCGCTATTTCCTGGGTCAGAGGCGCAAATCTGAGGTGGTGATGAACGTGCTGGATGTGCTAACCAAACTCACGCTCTTGGTCCTCCACTTGAGCCTAGCCTCGGCCCCAATGGACCCGCTCAAGGGCATCTTGCTGGGCTTCTTCACTGGCATCGAGGTGGTGATCTGCGCACTCGTGGTGGTCAGGAAGGACACCACCTCGCATACCTACCTGCAATACAGCGGCGTGGTCACTTGGGTGGCTATGACCACCCAGATCCTGGCAGCCGGCCTTGGCTATGGGCTTTTGGGAGATGGCATAGGCTATGTACTCTTTACGCTCTTCGCCACCTACAGCATGCTTCCGCTGCCGCTCACCTGGGCCATCCTAGCCGGCCTGGGCACTTCGCTGCTACAAGTGATCCTCCAACTGGTCATCCCCCGACTGCCGGTCTTTTCCATCAACCAGGTAGCTCCTGCTTCCCTTGTCTTTCCCTCCCCACTCCCCCCTGGGTTATTTAGAAAAAGCTTCCATAGAGCCGGAACTGCTCACTCCGAAGCCCCCGCCCCCCCAACCTAGCATTCTACTTTGCACCTAGGAGGCTTTGGTTGTCAGCGGGATGGTTTGTCTCTTTGGAACTAGCCGAACAAAATGACCTCTAAAAGTTTCTACTAACTTTATATTTCCATTCTGACTTGTAATCCTCCTCAGACATCAGCTGGAAAAGCCTCTCTCTCTCTCTCTCTCTCTCTCTCTCTCTCTCTCTCTCTCTCTCTCTCTCCCAGAGTCTGCAGGCTCTGGAGTAGGAGCCAGGACAGAAGTGGGAACACTCCTAGATTTAGAAGGTGGCACTTTTAACTCACAGCAGGTTGCTGTAAGAAACTGTGAGATTCAGTCTTGGGTTTCTGTGCAGCTCAGTTGTAGGTGGATCCAACCTTTGCTAAGCATGGAATTGCCAGAGCTGGGGTACCTACAAATGTTCTTTCTCATCCTTCGCAATCCTATGACAGAGGTTTTATTAGGGACATTTTAATGCCTTTGGGGATCTACTCTGGTTTCTCCTCTCACTGCCCAGTCTCAGCCCTCTGATCAGTCAGTCTCGGGAACTGAAGGATGGAAGGCTATTGGTAAAGAATTCAGTTTGGATGAATTGGAAAAGGGCATTTTTATGTAGGTGGATTGAAATATCGAGCTGGAGTCTCCTCTGCTCCTTTCCATTCTCCCCATTCCTATCCCCTTTTCTCATTAAATATGGATGTGCTTGTGTGAACAAAGTTCATGTTGTCTATGGCTGGGAAGGTAGACAAAGAAGCTATTGTTTAAGTTCACTAAAGCCAATAGATAATTAATGACCTGACACTTTGTTTACCAAATATCTGCTACATGGAAATGGGAGTGAGCTTAGGGGCTTCTCAGTAAGGAAGTTAACATATCAACAGAACTGATTTAGAGAGGAAGCCACTGTGACCAGGAGCCCTTGTGTATGGGCCTGCTCTGTCCTCAGCTTCTGTCTACTCTTGCTGTGTCAGAACCTTAAAACTCTTCTGCCTTGTGGTCCAGTTTGAGTATAGATGGTTCTTAGAATAGACACCACCACTGGAAATAACTGGTGATTTATAGATAACTGGCACCATTAGAGTGCTTTACCCATCATCAGTTTCTGGGGTTTGGCTGGATTTGGAATCCTGTCTCATCTCTGCTGGCTCTATGTCCATTTGATTGGGCTACTTATCTGGTTGACTGCTTTTACAGTGCTTTTTGAAGTATCTCCTCCAGATATAGCAAAGAATATATAAAATATGTGTCTGCGATCATCAGGCATAAAATGGGGTGATAAGAAACTAAGAGCTCAGCAGCTGAACTTCTCAAAAAAGCACTAGTGAATATATCCTCCAAATCATCACAGCGTTTAATATTTGACCCACAACAAAGTTTCAATTAAGGAAGAGGGAATTATAGTCTTTGCCTGTGATTGTATATTACACATGTATTAACGTGCATCTCAAATGCTGTGCATAGTTGATCTGAATCCCTATTTATGGACATCTACTTTCTTCCAAGTACCCTCATTCTTTTACATACTGTCATTATTATATTTAGATGTCAACAAATCTTTTCTTTCTTCTTTAGTTCTTCCCCTTCCCCTCTCATCCCCATCTTTCTCCTGCTCCTCTCCTTCTTTGTTTTGAAAACCTAACTCATTCTAAGTTTTTTTCACAAGCAATCATAGGTGTCTGATGTGTACAGCAAATTCCACTTATTATAACCCTCTGCGTTTAAACAGTAGCCTTTCTTGGTGCACATTACTAAAAGATTTCATCAAGTATGTTGGAGTAGTATTTAGAATAACACATCTTAAGTGTCAAACTATAAATATCTTCAAAGCTCTAATTATAGACATATTTATCTTGCCAAATGAATTCAGAAAGTAAATTCTGGCTCCACATTAGTTTTAGACTCTACTCAAATACTCCCAGATGGGAGATTAAAAATAGTACCCAATGTCTTCCCACTCCCATCCTATCATAAACAGCTCCCCACTGGGAAAACCAAGGCCCTCTGCATGTAATCCAAATGCATTCTGCTTTCAGTTGGGGACAGGTTATGGATTTAGCAGGGTTTAAAAGGCTGAGTCACCTTTCCCAAGACTGGCGAACAACCTGGACCAGAGTCCAGGCGCTGAAGATCCTTTAAACACTTTCCTTTGGCGCCCCCTAGGGGTGGAAACTTTTTTCCTAGATCCTGCAAATGAAATGGGGAGCTAATCTCTTTTCCAACACTGATTTTTTAAAACAAGAAATACCACTTAATTTTCCCAGTTTAACAGTCTGTAAGGCACACTTAAAACCTGATGATGACCTCTCAGTGCAGCTACAGTGAAATCCTAGCCTTTCTTCATTTGCCTCATCTCCTTCGCGCGTGGCTGCTTCTCTCCACTCATCTTTCCTCCTCTGCTTTTCCTCAGACCCTGAATTCTCCACCCATCTGTCTTCCTGTTATCTCAAGCTCTTTCTTACATCTGAGTCTTCACTCCTGCATCCGAAGAGCACGTTCCCCCGAGTCTTCATATGACCAGCACATTCCACTTGTTCCTGATTCTTTGGGTCTCTGGTGTATGACTTTTTAGTTTCTTCAGAGCATGTGTATGAAATTATCTTAAATTTTCATTTATTGTGTCTCTCCCTGAAGCCTCCATGCTCACAGAACACAAACACTAAATATGCAAGGGATTGCCTTCCTATTTACCACTTTATCCTTAGCACCTAGACAAATGCCAGGCATAGAGTTAGCACCCAACAAATTCACCATACAAATGAGATTGTTCATTACGTGTGTTCATCACAAGGGTAATAGTATAAGATATATACATATATATCCCCAAAGTCTGTGTTTATGAAAGAAATATCCACTCATGCACATCAGTACATACAGATAGACACAACTGAGTTGTGTACAAAGCAGGCTCTTATCCATAAACACTTTTAGGAGAAATTAAAGCACAAAGCATGGTATTTATATAATATTTCACATGTAACTAAGAGCCTTAGGTGTTAATACACCTAATGAGGACAAGTAGGTGATATCATCCTTCATTTTAATTTCAAGGAAGAAAGTATAAATTCTTAGAAACAAGGGGCCACTCTGAAAATCAGGAACAAACAGGGGTAAGGGCAGACTTCATACTTGGGCTCCAATTCTAACCATTCTTCAGCAACCTTTTAAGGGAATCCTAAAAACCTTTCACCAGACTAAAATGTCCAAAGGGAAAGAGTACCTGTTTCACTATTAAAGCGGGTAGTAGACTGTTCAGCACCTGAATGAACGTTTAATAAAAATCCAGAAGGAAGTTAAGAAAAAAATGGCAGAATGGCATAGGTTCTTTGTAATGAATTCATCATTCTGCTCAGCTGGATTCAAATTTGTCAACCAAAGGCCGTGAATCCTTTACATGAATCTTAATTCCCTTTAAGAGGGCAAATCAGGTTGAACTTAGCATTTTCAAGAATCATGGGACTGAAATGAGAATGTAGAGTCGACATACCTTGCCAGCTGCTTCACTTTACTGCAAATGTCATCTTCAAAAGTAATAAATGAGCCAATGATTGCCTTCCCTTAACCCAAACTACAAGCATCTGTCTGTTTCTACATTTGCTGTCCCAAAGGAAATTACAGCTGTGTCTTGAAAGGGCAATCATCATACTTCAAATCCCTGCAGACCCTCTACATGAAGAGACAAAGCCCCTTGTGAGTTTGTATCACAACCTGCCTCCTACTGTGGATAGAACATATAACCTAAAAGAGCCTACTTAGGGAGATCCTCCTCCGCAAAGAAATGCCTTCTATTTTTCTACTCACTTAACAAATCAAGTCATTGCCTCCACACCCCACACATATACAAAGAGACTATTGTCCACGGAAGATGTATCACCTACATATTTTCTGAGCCCAGTAACGTTGGAAATGCTGAGTGAACTTCATGAGGTGTGAAGCCCAGTTGGAACGGCTCCTTTTATTTCACCCCTACAGAGCTCAACTGTAGATAGCATGAGAGCTGATCTTAATCCTCTCTTGGGAAGCTTCACTAAATTTAAGTCCATTTCATAAATGTGATTCAAATCAATGACACTAGGAATGTCATGTTCAGACATTCTCTAGAAATTGATATTTTTCCCAATTGTTTATCTTGCCAGTTCAATTTGTTCTTTGGCAAATTCGTTATAAGATGACATTATACACATAAATAAAATAGTAATAATAACGTATGTTTACTAGGTTCTTTCACAGGGTACAGACGTTCCAAGCACTGTTGCTAAACTTAGCATTTTACTCTGTTTTAATTGCTGATGACAATAATACAAGCTACCTAACATTTGAAACTCATCTTGTTCTCCTTCAGCTCATTAGTGATAGGATGGTAGAAATCATTTAGTTATTGGAAAATTGAGAGCAGTAATATTTAACTAGAAAGACTGCCGCCTTGTGCTTCCCTCTTGGGGGTTCTAAAATGTTATAGCTAGTAGCTAATTAGTCATCTGTGCCTCTTGTTGAAGCAGATAAGCAGAACTGTCATAGTAGAAGTGATTTCTCCAAGATAGCTCTATGAGCAAAGGCAGACAGGCCTACAAATCCAAGTTAATCAGTGTTCAAGGTCATGCTGTCAGACTGGAATTTCTTTCTGTCTTATTCACAGCCCATCAAATAGCAGAGACTAGAGCCAGAAAAACTATTAAATATCAATTCTTAAATTTGACCAATAAGAAGAAGCATTTAGCCTACTATTGGTCCTATAAACAGTTCTTTAGGAGAACATGCAGTTGTATCAGATAAATGTGTATGGTATAAGCAACTGGGGTTTAGGAGAGAAACAGACCTTGTGTGTGGCTTAAATATGCATTTATGGTCACTTAAATGAAAGACTGACTTCAGAGTAAAAGTAAAGCCAGGATAATGGGATTATAGAACCTCTT